ACGAGCAATTCCAGGAATGGGGTCAGGACAAACAAAGACAAAAACCTCCCACCTGATTCAAGCAAAGTTAAATTCTACTGCATGAGGTTCACCCAATGCAGCCTCTGCCTACAATTGATCCCAGCATGGTGTGGGTACTACGGAATAATACAACGGCCTTCACGGATGGCAACAGCACTTTGGCAGTCAACAGGCTCTTTCAGCCGTGATGTGGGTAATGTCCCACAGGCCAGGGAACTCTTCAATGGCTGCAGCCTACACACCTGCAACTGAGCACCTCTTACGGGACACCTCCAGCAATGGAGGAGTGAAGGCAGAAGCTGCTGAGCTGAGATCACTTAATGGGTGATCTGCTGCTTGCAAAGGCCCGGAGGCACCTCTGGATTATGTTGAGCTGGCAAGACTCAGCATGGGTTGGGCCTTGGCAATGAAGTCATAATTTTCCTGCAGTTCACACAGAATATCCAAACACACATCATTGCTTTCAATAATTTCCCAGATGTCTTTATGCAAAGTTGTATTGTTTTTAAGGATTTCTCCATTTTTCACAATCAACAATCGACCGCATCCTGTTCTTAGAAACGGAGAAACTTCCTCTTCACCAGCTGCACAACGTATATAAAGGACTACCCCAGGAGACCAGAAGCCAATTTGAAGAGGAGAAGAGATCGGGAAGAAATCTGCCAGCCTTTTTCTGCAGGTACTAAGTTTACCCTGAATTGTCTGTCTCTGTGTTTGCCTTTTCATGTTTGCTCTAGATAACAAGCAAAGGTCTCTTCTGAGAAGCCAGAGGAAAGACACCCTTCAATGAACGTGGGTGTAATCGCTGGCTCCAGGAGTCCTTCTGCTCTAACCGTGATAAATTGACTGTCAGAAATAAGGGGAAAGGCGTTGACTCAACTTTTCTTTCCTGTGCTTCACAGCCCCAGCAAGATGCAGTTCTGTGCACTGGAACAGCCGTACCTGACAAAGGTAAGTTGCTCAACCATCTTCTTCTGGAACGTGGCTCCTCTGCTCAGACAAGGACTTTTGGCAGGTCCTTCGTCAGCATTCGGCTGGAACTGCAAACCTGGGCATGTCCAAGCCACCTTGTACTCCAACCAGTATCTGGAGCTCAGCTGAAGCTTTTTAATGTGATGGACCAGCCATACCTCTTTCCCAGCCTCTCCCTGTTCCTGAAGGATGGGAGGAGGAAAGGGCCCAGGCCAGGATTAGACTCAGCATCTCGGGAACTTGACTGGCTGCTTTTCACATTCCAAGTATTGTCAAAAATCCCCCATCACTAGGATCCCTGATAAACTGCCAAAAAAGATGCAAATGAGTCTAGGCCCTCCAACAGGGAGCCCACTACTGGCATCCTATTCCTTGTGGCCATTTCAGCCATCATGTCTTATTGCCTGAAAGCCACACAATCCATCACAATCAGGGACCTAACTTTCTGGCAGTGTGAATCGGCAGCATGCTGGATTTGGGTGGCCATTGCAGTCATGATCTTTCATTTTTAACTTGCTACCATATTTATTGTCTATGAACAGGTACCTTAATGGGTCTAATGTGTGTGTGTGGGGGGGGGGGGGTTTAAATATAGATCACCGAGTTTATAAAAACGATAGCTGTATTTTATCTCCCTGGGATACAGGTTTGAAGGAAGTTGGCTGGGAAAGGACTTGGCTCCTGTTCCTTTTAAGGGAGCAAACTTTGATTTTAAGAATCTCCTGCTCATTCCTCTTTTGCCACAGAAAGCCTTCCAGACCAGCGAGGTGGAGATCCAGGTAGCAGCGACCAAGAATGAGCCCCTGAAGAGCTTCAGGAAAGCGGTGCTGATTGTCGTTGCGAGTGAGACCCTGAGGAAGTGTCCCGCCAGGCTCTTCTCGGATGAGGATCTGTTGGACATTCTAAGCACAATCTTAGGTAGAGTTGCATCATCAAACGCCCACTTGATGTTTTGCGGCTGTAAGAAATCCCTTCCAGCAGACTGTTATCTCTCAGAGCAAACAAGCAGTAGGACAACTACGAGATCCCAATTTGGAGCACAGAAGCTCACGCTGTCTTCGCCCTGGGCTCTTTATACCAAAGGGCAGCAAGGCCTAGAAAATGCAGCCTGCTAAGGGTTGCTCCAGCGACTGTAATGATAGTTATGGTGGACCACGTAGATTCAACTTGTAAAACGGGGGAGTGTTAGGAAAAAGTATCTGACAGCTGAATGTTTAGGGTTTTGTTTCAGCAATCTTCTAGAGGATTAGAAAAATTACCTGTCTTGTGGAGGAATAATTCTACTTAAACTACGAGAGCGAAGTGAGAGCTTTCCCCAAACTTGTCCTCTCCGTCGCCTTACTACCAATTTTAAGGCTAGCAGGCTCAGCTGCTCCTGGAGGAGGGCAGAATCTCCAAAGTCCATTTGGCTGAACTTGTGGGGGATTCGGTGGTGGCAACATCAACAGTTGCCTTAAGGGGGGGAACGGAATAAATCAAACGAGAATGTATTCCCCTATTCAGAACCGGTCACTTTCGACATCGGCAGCTCCACCGAAGCCACCAGTTCCATCTATCACTTCTGGAAGAATATCGTCTACAACATCCAAGATACTGACCACAAGTCCCTCGTCTTCAAGGAGCCGGCACAGTTGGTGGCCATGCACCTTCAGGGCCTCAACATGGAGCAAGCAGGTGAAGCCCGGTGGCTACCTCTCCCTCGCCAGGCTGAATTAGGGGGCAACCCAGGTCTCTGGGTCCAGCCAAACAGAAAGCGGTAATTTTCACCACGGGTTTTATTTTTATTTTTTTCAGTGAAGCTAAAGATGTCTGTGTATCGTCCCAAAATCGAGGCTGGAACTCAAAAGGTCCCTGTGGTATTGAGCATCCAGAGGGGGAAGTTTTATATCTCTTGCGTATCGAAAGATGGACAGCCGGTGCTGCAGTTGGAGGTCAGTGGTTCTGTCTTAGGGGGGTGGGATTCAACATTTTCTCTACCACCGGTTCTGTGAGCGTGGCGCGGTGGGTGTGTGGCATGCTGGGAGTTTCAATTCTGGGAGTTGAAGTCCGCCAGGCTTAAAGTGGCCAAGGTGGGCGAGCCCTGGGCTATAGCCAGCCCACTACCCTCGCTATAGGCCCCAGTGTAGACCGTCCACTCCTCCCGGGCTGCACTCCGAGCATTAACCCAGGTTTCTTCCCCCTGCAGGAAGCCACCATCCAAGGGAACCTGGACAAATCTCAGCTGGGCCGTTTCCTTTTCTACAAAATTGCGAACGGGAAGCACACCAGGTTCGAATCCGCCGAGTGCCCAGAATGGTTCATCTGCACCTCCAGCCAGAATGACGAGGCCGTTGCCGTGACCAAGCAGCCTGGGGGCCCTCGGGTCATCGTGGATTACAGCCTCACCAGCTAGTGAACCGAGGCTCCAGACTTCGCCAGGGTCCCGGATCTCTTGGCCAGGCAAAGCAACAACGCAGGACGTCTCCATTGTCGGGGACTTTTTCTTTGGCTGGAAAGTCTTGGTGCAAACTGAGGGGGAGGGTCATTGGTGGGATTCAACTTCTTTTACTACAGGTTCTGTGGGCGGGGCTTGGTGGGCGTGGCAGGGGAAGGATATATTGCAAAATCCCCCTTCCCTCCCCACCCCACTAACCTGCTTTCCAGCTCCGTTCTCCTGGGCAGGGCAACCAAAGGAGATCCAGCTGGGACTCAATGGGAGGCAGAGAAAAGATGGGGTTGGCCGGTTCTCCCAACTACTCAAAATTTCCGCTCCCAGTTCTCCAGAACTGGTCAGCATCGGCTGAAGGCCACCTCTAGTGTGTGATAATATTTAATGTACATATTTATTAATAATTTAATAAATATTTGCCAGGTTTTTTTTAACCAGTGTATACGATGATAAATTAAGTTTTATACTGAAGCGTTTGTTAATATTTTAATAAATAATTTTTGACAGATTGACCTTGGAGTCCATTTGTACAGAGAATCCCCCATTCTTTGTGCTCCAAATTAAGAGTGGGGGGTGGGGTGCGGGTGGGGACACAAAAGCTCAGCCAGCAGCGGGGGGCTGAAAGAGGCTCCTCGGGGAGGGGGACCCCACGCCCTGTTCCGCCAAGGTCTCCCCTGGCTTGACCCCTCCAGAGTGAGGCCACATCTCAGGATTCTGGCAGTTACTCCAATTCAATCATGAGCCTCGAGCCACACTCCCAAAACTAAAGAGGATTTATTTGAAGCTAACATTCTACGTCCGGCACTAACCTGGGCGTAGCCGACTTTGAGATACGTAATTCACCGTCACCCTTGATCCTGCTTTCCCCCCCCCACCCCTCTGGGTGTATCATCCAACGAAACACGTCCATAGCCAAGAGTCATCAATCATGCTCTCCAATTAGATTTTTGCACAGCAGAAGCTTCAGTCATCTAATCAGTCTTTGAAGAAAATATGAATGGAAGGTACTTTCGATTCCACACTGCCGCCTGCTCTTTGAAACTCTCCCCCTCCTTTCTGTTGTCAACTATAAAACGTGTTTATAAAATGTTTTTTGACTTGACACCACGGCTGCCTCCGGCCAGGTGGAGAAAAGCCAGGGGCCCAATGGGGTGAGGGGCACCACCCTGCATTCCTCCAGCCAAGGGTCAAATTGGAAAAGGAATCGCTGATTTATCATTGCCCTGGCCTGGGGAAGATGGAAAGCCATGTCTTTACTGACTGACTCATAGTAATGATGGTTGCAGTGTCCCAAGATGATGTGGTCCCCATTTGCGACCGTCTGACAAGGAAAGTCAATGAGGAAGCCAAATTTGTTTAACAACTGCATTTCTAATTTAACAACTGCATGTTTCACTTAACAACGGTAGCATGAAATTGGGGCAAAATGCATGTAACAAACGTCTTGCTTAAAGACATAAATTTGGGGCTCCCTTGTGGTCGGACGTTGAGGATGGCTGGGATATGATAAAGCACTAAGATATTTATTGAAAGCAGCTAAAATGAAAACGGCAGAAAAAATACAGAGACCACATGGCTTGAAAAACAGTGTTTAATGCTACTTGCAAGGTTCAGAACTCAATGCGAAGGAAGAAGGAAGGGAGGAGTCTTCTGGCTTGAGAATAATCCGGTTTGGGGGTCTTTAGAAGCACTTCCGGTGTACAATTGAAGGGCCGGCTTCGTCATATTCTGGTTTGCTTATCCACATTTGCTGGAAGGTGGAGAGAGAGGCCAGAATGGAGCCTCCAATCCAAACAGAATATTTGCGCTCAGGAGGAGCAATGATCTGTGGAAAGATTTCCAAAACGGTTACGAGTGAGCAAGAAGAATACAGATCTCACGTTTCGGGGGTAGAGAAACCCAGATCCATGAGAACAGCTGTCTTACAAAAGGTATGAATGCCATGTAAAAGAGGGAGAAAAGGAAGGAAGAAAGAAAGGAAGGAAAAGAAAGAGGAAGGAAGGAAGGAAGGAAGGAAGGAAGGAAGGAAGGAAGGAAGGAAGGAAGGAAGGAAGGAAGGAAGGAAGAGAAGAAAGAAAGAAAGAAAGAAAGAAAGAAAGAAAGAAAGAAAGAAAGAAAGAAAGAAAGAAAGAAAGAGAAAGGAAGGAAGGAAGGAAGAAAGGAAGGAAG